CACTGGTCTTTCAAAATCATGAGGGTTCCTTTCTTCAAAAGAGTAAAAGTCTCAACGTGGGAAGCCCTCAAACAACAGCAAACCCAGGTCTCCAATCACAGTTCTAGCTTTTTCTGTTATGCTTTGAAGTACCCTCCCATGAAACTTGAACCGGAAATGAACTATAAACAACCCTACAGGGAGAAGAAAATTGGACACACGGGAAACTGAAAAGCAAGAAAAATCTGATCTTGTTTCAAGAAAAGGTTGGTGGAGTGGGGATGCATATACCTATGTGTGGGGACTCCATGCTGACCTTTTCTTAGCGGTTGACTATTCTCTTCCTTCCTTCTTTCAATAGTGCAGATGATGACAATTTATAAAATATTGTTCAGTTTTACTGTGTTAGGCAGCGTGATTGTCTCAAGGGGAAGAAAAATCACAGTTTGCTCTCACTCTCCAAAGAAAGCTTACACACATATAAAAGGTGGTGTCCTCTGAGTGCTGGTGTCCACAACAGTTCTTGCTCTGAGGCTCTTTATTGCCCCTCTGAGGTCATTTGGTAGAAAACCTCTTGCCCACTGCTCACCCTGCTCAGTGTCGGGAGGGAGTTTTACATGCTTTAAAAGCGTAATTTTTCCCAGCACAAACCCTCTAATGACAAACTCGTGACTCTGTCAGAGTTCACAGCTGTCAGTTGGCAGGGTTAGGGCCCCATTTTGAACTTAGGGGGCATAACATCTAAATGCAAGGTTATGGGTGATTTGGAGCATGCAAATACCCCCATCCCTCATATCTTAGAAAATCTGAGAAATTTTAAGATGAATATTAGATGGTGCTAAGGAATTCTTAATTTTATTAGGCTTTGGTAATATAGCATGGTTTGGTAAGAAACTATCCCTTTTTTTTAAAGGAGATATAGAGCTGGAATGATATGATGCTTGATGTTTGGGTTTAAAATACTCAAGGGAAGCCTGGGTGGCTTAGTTGGCTAAGCATCTGACTCTTGATTTCAGCTCAGGTCATTATCTCAGGGTCATGAGATAGAGCTCTGAATGGGGCTCCACACTCAGCTTGAGATTCTCTCTCTCTCTCTCTCTCTGCACCCCCCTTCCTCTGCCCCTCCCCTTGCTCATACTCTCTCTCTCTAAAATACATAAAATTTTTGAGATACTCAGGGGAAGAAAAAAAATGGTTGAAGGATTATGCAAAATCTTGAAAACTATTGAGTCTGGGCAGTGTGCAAATGGACTATTGATTTTTTTAATGTATGATTTCCTGATTTTCATGTATATTTGCATATATTTATAATACAAAATCCTTGTTTGCCACTTAGCTAACCTATGACTTTGGGCCAATCACTTAACCTCTCTGTGTTCTGGTTTCCTCATTAGCAAAGCAGCCAGAATAAGAACCCCTCCTTGGCAGGCTTTGCTGTGTGGCTTGAACAGGATACTATGGGTTTGGTGCCCAGCTCAGGGCCAGCCAACAGAGCCAGGCACTCAATAATTATGGATTGTCATTAGTATTGTGTATGGATGCAGGGTCAGGAAAATATTTTTTCCTATCACTTACACTCTCACTGCTGTTTTTTTTTTTTTTTTTTGAGCTTCCTGTCTGATCCTCAAGTCAGCCCAGCCTTACGGTATGAAAAATGAAAATGTACGCAGGCAAATGCTACAGCTGATGCTTAAATCTAATTGAATGTAGCTCTAATGACACATGTACTTTCAGATGACAGAAGTCACTGAGGGTTCGTTATTAAATGATGAGGGTAGAGAGGAGAGAGAATTTTGGAAGGAAAAATATACCACAAACAATGTTTGCTGGTTAACACACTTTATATTTAACAAAATAATTTTTTAATAATATAGTCTTTTACACATCAAATATTGTTGCTAGAATCCCCTTTTTACAGTTTAGTGTTTAGTTGTGTTGTGTTTTTTTTTTTTTTCCTCACTAGTTTTCAGGCACACCATTTTTCAAAGATTTTGGAAACTGAATCTTTTTTTTAACAGGCATCAGCTGACAAACAGGATGTTGATCCCTTATTTAAACAAAGCTGTAGTTAAAGCCGAGAACCAAGGATGGAGGAGGAATGGGAGACATGGACAGTGGAGCTGCAAACAAAGCCTTCAAGAGAAAAAAAAAAAAAAAGAGAAAACTAAACAGATGAGACCAGAACTCTGTTGTTCAGAGTTTGGAAAGAATTTCTCAATGACCTGGGTAGAAGGAAGTTGTAAAATGTTTATCGGTTTATGAGAAATTCTGTCACAGTATAGGTTCATCTCTCCCTACAGGGAGAAAAATGTCAGTGCTACAAAGTCTTAAAGGAAACAGTATGTAGTGAAACTCAGAGGAAAAAGAAAATCCAACAACAACAACAAAAATAATAATAATAGAAAAATCCCTCTCTCTGGCTGGTAACAGAGACCACAGAGTAGCCTTCATTCTACAAACTCTGCAAAGAGCTTCTTGATGGATATTACACTCCATTCTAGTAAGTTCTTGCTGCACCTATCACTGTGCCAAGACTTTGATGCAAATTGACGCCTGGCTCCCCAGTTGCACTCTCTGTTTCCTAGAAAGGACATAGTAACTCCTTAATAATAGAGAGGGTACTATGCTACATGGCTCTATTAATGATATTTTCTGGGTTTCAAACCTTATTCCTGTCATTTATTATTATTATTTCTTTCCAAGAGTGTGGAGTTTTGAAGCTGGCACCAGGCAACCTCAGGGCAAAGCAAGCTCTATAATACATCTCTGTCTAGACACAAGCTGAAGTATGGAATGCCTTTGCTTTGGAGTGCAGGAATAAATCATGCAGAATTGTTCATGAATGATTCATGACTGTCTATATGATGTATCCATGGTGGCAACAAAAGGCACCAACCTTGCTGCAAATTGGTGTTCTAAGGGAGGGAGGCATGATGTTCTTCCTCCGATGGCGCCGGCATGGCTGTTTGCATCATACACAAGCACAGTGTACGTGAGAAGTGTCGGGTCCGACTTGTCAACACGTTAGCTTTGGAAATGACAACTCTTTCTCGATGACTGGAGGTGCTTCCAGGGAGGAGAGGCTGACCATTTTAAATGAAAACCCAGCTGATGAGACTAAAGAAGTATGTCGTGGGGGTGGACCTATGACCATAGAAGCATCACTCCACTGGGAGGAGGTTGACCTGTCTCCCTTGGGGCTGCTGACTGTGCATGTCCCAAAGGGCTTAGAGGCTCACCCAAGCCACAGGCCCAGCCAGAGCTTGCTTGGTATGCCACGTGGGCAGAAACCACTCTGTGCTGATTATCCTAAACCTTTGATCCTCAACCAGGTGACATTTTGTCCCTTCCCCACTCCCTGGGGACCTTTGGCAATGCCTGGAGACAATCTGTTGTTACAGGGTGTTGCTGTTGGCATTTAGCGGCTAGAGGCCAACGACGTCACTAAACATCCTAAAAATGCACAGGGCAGCCCCCAACAACAGTGAGTCATCTGGCCCAAGATGTCAACAGATTTAAGCTTGAGAAAGCTTGTTCTAGAATGTGGCACTCCGCAAGAGCTATGGCAAAGCCCAGGCTGGGGTGGGGGGCGGGAAAGGAAAGAACATTGATAACGAAGACGACCTTAAAGTTTCCTCAAGGACCCTGCCAGACCTGCGCCAGGGTTTTCAAGACAGGAGAGCGGAATAAGCAACTAACTGTGCCCTGTGGTTTCAAGAATCGCCAAATATGCACTTGACTCGAGGTGGCATCAGATACCCTGTGTATTTTATTTTTTTTCTGTTACTATACGAGCAGCATTACCAGGGCAACCTTGAGACGCTTCAAAGGTTCACTTTAGTTGTTCAGTATCTAATATATACATTTTAAAAAAATGTACAACAAATGGAATTGTATTGTGCAAGACCCACTCTACCCTAAGCTTTAATTTAAATCAGCACTTGAGGTGGAAAGAGTGTCCTGAATCTGTGTTTTAGACATAGGGCTGAGTGGTCATTACTTAAACATGGCAAACACAGTCCCAAACCATAAAAACTGCCTGTGGGTACCCCTGGCTTTCAGCCAAATCTGAACGCAAAAGCCAGGGGTGTTCAGAAGGGTTCAGATGCACAGTGGGGCTACTCGCTCTGGGTCTGGTGTGTCTAGTGCCAGGCGACCGAGTGCGTTTAGAGTGTTAAGCTACGAACCAAACCGAAATTCAGCGTCATGAGAAAATCTGGTGGTTAATGCTACGATTGTGAATTCCTGGCTCCCTTTGGATGCTATAGTCAAGCTCATGGTGTTCTTCACATATTAGTTTTTGATTGGCAGTTTCAAGGTTTTGTGTCTGAGATGTGTGGTTTGTGAGAATTCAATCACGATCTCCCACTTAACTGCACCAAGCTTCGGTTCCCCGCCCTGCCCCAGCCGTGGGGCCACCTGTATGTACCTCTCTTTTTCTGACCCTACAGGGCATGTTTCCCCCAAGGGGAGACATTGGTCGGATGCTCCTGCGTCTTCCTGGTCAGGAAGGGTGCTCACCCCTGAGGTCCCTTTACTAAAGGTTATATGACACAACTCCAAGCTTAACTGTGCAGTCAGCTCTGGCCCCTTAGACTCTAAATATGAAAAAGAAATTCTACAAGAGAAAAATGCCATGGTGGTGATGTACAGAAGAGTAAAAATGAAGCAGATCGGCGGACGGTGAGCTGGCAGGCTAGAGGTGTCACCAGAGAAGGAGCCTGTACGAGGCTGTTTCTTCCTTTTCGTTTTAGAAATCCAGTGGTCAAGTCTCCATCAAGCATGGACAGTTACAAAAGCGGTTTCGGTAGCTGTATACTATATATACTTTATATAGCAAGAGAGAAAGAGAGAAATTTCCTCTTAGTAAAATATTCACTTTTGTCAACCCTAAAAGGTTTTGCTGGTGACCCTGTTGTAGCTGGCAGGAGTTTGTTTTGTTCTGTTTTGTTTCAAACGTGTGCAGTGTAGAAGCCATAGCATCCTCTCCTAGGAACTCCTCATCGGTGGGGGATTTTTTCCTACACAGTCTGCTTGCCTTGGCATTCGCGTTTTGAACACTGAGCAGGCTTCCACCAGTCCCCGTTGTGACAGTGACAGATGTTACATTCATCCACTTTCACTTCAATGCCAGCCGGGATTATTGTTGTTCCTGCAAAGCAGTTTGGACCTGGAACACACATATACGTTGATTAGTTGATTAAATCGGAGAGGCTCCCTTTTTCTCTTCTCGCCCCAGCCCCAGTAGAAAGCCAGCCCCCAAAGCCAGGAATGAGTAGGTCCGATGACTCTTCACAGTGTATTACTCAGGTATTTTCTAGCCGGCTCCCTTAAATGTAAACCTTCAACCTCTACTCTTGTGCACAGAGCTCATCTTCCCTATGTATATTAAAAAAAAAAAAAAAAGATCAATGCTCAAAAAAAAAAAATCTTATTGTCTGTTACCGAGTATTTGCAGTTTTCTAAAGTAGAATTCTACAGATCAAACTCTATTTACATTATGCTCTGGGGTGTAAATGCTGCTGAAGCATCCCCTGAGACTCAAGTGGGGGCCTTGCATGTCTGCATCAGATGATGATGATACCCCGTGGCCTGTCCTCCCACTTCCCGTGGTGGGTAGGTGACAATGAACTTGCTCATTGCCTGGCTTCAACACCTCCCCAAAGTCCAGTTCCTGGAATCCCCAGCTTGTTTCTTGATAACAATAAATAATTCATGACCAGATGATTTATTCATGTCCCAAATGAGCTTTGTTAGAGGTCCATTTGATTTTTATAAATGGAGCTCCTTTAATCTGCTGGCTATCTTTTTTTTTCTTTTCTTTTTTTTTTTTTTTTTTTTTTAAAGAATGACCTAAATGATTGGCTTTTGAAAGTCAGCATGAATTCTATTTTACTTTTTTCAGGATGCAGAAAAACTTTACTGAAAAATGTTACCTGTTCAGTAGAGATGGATATTTTTTAAATTTACCAATCTTAGTTTTGTTTTTTTTTTTAACTTATCTTTCTCTCCTTTCCCTTACTTTCTCTTTCTCCCCAATCTGCAAATGCCAGTATTCAGTTTTGGTAATATTATTTCTCAAAATCAAATGGAATAAAAATTGCTTCCCAAGGTGCAATGGATTACAGTGGCATGGTGCAAATTGCAGTTTCCTTGAGACAATTTGGTATATGTCTCCGAATTACATATTTGGATAAAGAGAGCAAATCGTGTCTACTCATGATTTATCAACCCAGCATTACTGGCCACTTTCCATAACCACTACCAAGTAACATACATCAATATCAGTGCTCTGCTTTCACTTTCTTACCACTTGATAAGAATTTACGAGATTATGTTTACCACCAAATAAATGAAATCAGAGGTGATTTGTAGTTCCACTTCATAATTGAAATCTTTCATAAAAATGGTAACTATGAAGTTATAATGTATCATCACAAATCTATTTAATATGCTAGGGCTTTAATCATCCATTGTTTTAGAGTTCCCAGACCTCAGTTGTGCCTACACTTGCCAATGGCCTTTGTGCACCTATGCCTTTCCTTCATTTGGTGGAAAACAGCCCGGAATGTGTGCTTCTGCCTGGTTCTTTAGAGAACAGACCAGCAAGAGTATGAGGGATATAATGAGTCATCACTGACAATTAAACAGCTAGTAAACTCTCTGCTTTCACCCAGAATGGTGCTTCTTGTTAGGATGCTGTGGTTATAAGCTCCTGGCCGTCCTAACTACTGATTATTTAAGGATCACTGTTTTAGAATTTTAGTCATTGTTTGATAGATTGAACAGTCTTTGGGACTACACCCCCCTGGGAAGGTTCGACGCAAAATCATTAATTTGTTCTGGACCCAGAATCCAGGGAATCTGCGGAGAACCTGGCAAGGAGGCTTTTTCAGATTGTAGTTGGTTGTCTCATGGCTGCTGTTGTTGACAGACCTCTCTCAGCCCAGCCAGGATCTGGACAGAGCCAAACTAGCTTCAGAAATCAAACTCGATGACCACTACCACCTGTTTTCCTGGAGCCACCCCAGAGGAAGCAGTAGTTTCTCTACCTCCTCACTCTAATCAACTCTTTTCACCCAATTGTATACTTTTTACTTTAACAGATGGGAAAGAAAAAAAAATTTTTTTTTCTAAATAGTGGCTTCAAAACAAAGAAGTCCCTGGAAAAGGCAGAATGTGATCTACTAAAGAGTTTTCTCAGTTACTTCGGGGGCTTTGGAAACTAACTTGTCAGCAGAATCTTAAGTATGTGTGTATGTGAGTAAGCACAGACATCCTGCTGGCTCACGGGGGGCAGGTTTTCAGCTCAATATTGCAATAAGAGAAGAAAGCAGGGAAGGATCTTTGCAAAAGATTTCTGACAAGTCACTGTGCATGTCTTGAGGAGAGACTTTACTAAAGCTCTAACTCTCCCATCTGCTCCTTTCTGAATGCGTTGGTGTCATACTATGATCAGTGTGTATTTGATCAGCCTCTCTAAGTCATTTCCTAAGAACCCCTTAGAATTTGCTGCTTTCTCAGCTCAGAAAATATTAATTTATATTAATAGAATGCAAAGAAAGATCCTTTGTGCTTTGCCAGGATTGAACAAAGTCACAGCCTATATAAATAACATAACCACCTCAATGGTCAACTCGGCAGTCAGAGGTATTTTACAGAATCAAAAATTCCTATTTGATCTCACGAACAGTAATTTTATTAGCACCCTTCTGAGAATTTCAGGTGTAACTAAAGCTTCAAGTTTGTGGTTCATAGTCTTATCTGCTTAAAAGTAATTTAGATAATTGTCAAGCAGAATGGTTGGCACTATGCGGAGACTGTTCTGGTTTTGTCCCATCCTCCTTAATAGTGATGACAACAAATGTTACTCGGCTTCAAGTAACCTGGGTGTGCTATATGAGTTCCCTACGTAAGAAATCAATCCTTCTATCTATTCTCTTTCTTTTCTTTCGGAGATGCTTTCCTTTTGTCTCGCTTTATGTGGAAGAATAAGTTGCTTAGAAGAGTAAACTCAACAGCAAAAGCAACATATTTAGTGCAGAAGACTTGGAGAGATTCCAGAGGGGAGCAGTGAAATGATTAAACTGAAGGCTGGCAGATAGGACCTGTGAGAAAAGGTTAAAGGGATTGGAATTATTTAATCTGGAAAGGGAAGACAGAGAAATAACTCAATAACTCTCAAGGAATTAAGGCTTATTATGTGAAGAATGGTGACCAACTGTTCTTTCCTTTTTCTGACACCTAAAATAAGAGGAGATGGAGATACATTGATTCTCAGGGAATTGGAAACACACACACACACACAGAGGAATCGTTCAGAGAAATGAGAACTGAGTAGCCAGCTGTGTGCTGAGATCTCTCTAAGACATCTTTAAGAACACAGGAGGTGTCATCTGTCTGGTGTGTTTGAAATTGTCAGCTCCTTAAAAACAGGAACTGAATCTCTGTCATTTCTTATGGTCTGATGTTTGGCACATATTTAAAAACTCAGCACATCTTATTTAACTAAATTAAATAGTATGAACTAACTAGTTGTATAATGGAAGCAAAATTATTTCCTGAACTAATAGATCAGGCCTTACATATATATCAGGCTTAGTCCTAATAATATTGGTATAGAAATATTTGTCAATTAGAAGTAACGTAGCAATAATTTCTTGAGCACTTACTTCATGCCAAGAATATGTCTCATTCAATCTTTCCAATTAGCCATGTAAGGTGCACATTCTCATCCTTAGTGCACCTTATATGATTTGCATGGCTACCTTGAGCCTCCGAGATGGAAAATAACTTGCCTGAGATCACATGTCTAGGAAGTGACACCAATGGGATATGAACTCAAATTTTCTGATCTGTAAGGATGCTTTTAATTGCCCACAAAAAGAGGCAGGTGACCAGGAGCACACTGCAGACCAGATCCTGAGCATCTGATCAGAATTTAGAAGTCCAGTTGGTTTTAGTATTAAGGATGCATGCTGAGTTAAGAAACTCGATGGCTAAATAGAAGTGAGACTGTTTTTCTATAGATCTTTATCAGATTTATTTATTTATTTTTTATTGTGTAACCTTACAGTCTCCAGAAAACACTATTTATCTAACAACTGAAAGAAATTTCCCATGGAGGAATGCTTGGATGATGGGACTTTTGTTTTCCTTTGGGCAGCAGCGAAATTCCCACTGGTACTAGAAGTATACCAACTAAGAAGCAGAATGAAAGTGAACTATGACTCAGAAGTCCTGATTCAAGTCGTAGTGCTGTGATTGATTATCTGTGTGACCTTAAGCAAGCACTGTGTAACCCAAATACTAATTGGAGCCCATATGGTCGAGTCTCAGAAAGGATTCATATTTTTGGAAGTGCAATAAAATTGGAAAGGCAATTCAAATATTTACTGGGAGTTGGAGCAAGGAGGGAAGAAGGAAAAGCAGGCGAGGGATACTTACACAAAAATTTTCCATGAAACACAATTTTCTCTATTCTGTACTTCAAGTACTTAATTTGCACACCTACACAATAAAAACTGGTTTGCAAACATTTTCTTTTTCATAATAGAAATCATTCAAAAATCTTATAAGGGAGAGCAATATGAAATAAATAACAGCAGAGCTTCTCCGGTGAGATGGCTATGAGGAGCCTGTAGCTCTATCTTTCCAGGAGGATGTTTTTCCCATCTTCCCACTTCAACCTTGCAGAGATAGCTTATGAGGCATCTGCATAGAGTATGGGGATCAGAGGGAAAGCATTTGGAGTGATTCTTTCCTGCTTCAGTAATCTAAGAAACCAGGAGAAAATAGATTCTATCATGTTTGTGGTTGTAAGAACTGAGCAGATTTGCTCAGCCACTAAAGTTCTCTTTTCTTACCAAGCCCTGAAATTTCCTGCATTAAAGGGTTTATAGAAACTACATAGAAAAGGAAGCCCATAGCTACTCTGATTCACATCTCCTGCAGAATCATGCTTGCTTATGATGTTTAACATCACATTGGTTGAATGAAGGAACAAATGCATAAACTGAAATAAAGTTCAGAAGGAGAGGATCTCGGAGCTGAGGAAGGTTGTAACAGAGATCCTGACCCATGGGTCCATGGAGAGATTTGGTCTATGTGTGGAGAGAAGGAAGAATATGACTCACTGAGGAAGTGGAAAAAGCCGTGGGGTAGAGTGAT